CGTTTGTTATCTTATAAAGCCTGGCAGCAGTAACAGTTTGGTTGGGTGTCCATGCAAATACAAATCAATGTTGCATGAAACACTGAAACAACTCACTGCAAGGGGTGGTTGAGAGCTGTGCTTTGTCTTTTAAAAAAATATCTTCCAAGTGTTGCTGTCCACAATTTCTTATGGTGCTTTATCCTTCTCTACGCTTCTTTATAAGGAAGAGACAACATTTGAAGGCTGTTGAGTTAAAGCAGTTTGGAGCTTCTTAGAATCTCTTCTGGGTACTTGAACTACTTTAGCCTGTTTTTCTCACAAAAGCACCAAACCAACAGCTACACTGATTACAGTAGTTTTCTGGAAGCTGAAGTTTCACACCACTTTGAAAAATATGACTACAAGAAATTATTTTGATTGTTTATACATACAGATGGGCAAACATGAATGAGAAGCACCTATGGGGATAAATGAAAAAAATACATTGGTTAAATTATTTTACCTAGTTAAAATGGTGTAGCATGAACCATGTATCTTTGGGAGGCAAATTGCCACAAGTTAAGAAATCACTGTACACATTATCAGTTGCACACTGAGTTTCAACTAATAAATGTTGCTGCACTGGCATGTATGACTGGTAATAAAATACACTGTGTCTATAATCTCAGTGGATGCTGTATCTGCTTTATCATCAAATGGCAGAATTTTCCATTAAGCACAGGTGGATATTATACTATGCTAAATAGAAGTGTGATTGTTGAGATCTTTCCAGTAGGTAGGTGAGCTGATTTGTCCTTTCTCGACCTTTGACCCATCTGGTCAAAGGGGTTAAGTAGATAGTCGACTCACAAATTCAAATTATCAGAGAATAATGGAAAACCCGGAGCTCACAATCCCATTAGATATCAATAGCTGAAGACTGATGAACCCAGGGAAAATAGTTAATACATGTCTAGCCATAAACTTTCTAAAAGTCTATGGACCAATTACATGGTGGACTAGATCATGGTTTCTCAAATATTGCCATGCAACTGAGACAAAATCATTCCATGGTATATTACACAGGCTGATTATTATTTATCTATTTATTTGAAATATTTTACCCCCTCTTTCTCCTTAAAAAGAATCCAAGGCAGCTTCCATTATTAAAAGATAATATTTAAATATTAAAAACAGTATTTATACACTTATTTAAAAAGAATCAAACCAATTCCACATTAAAAATGGTAAACAAAATCAACATCAAAAACACTTTTAAAGCAACAAGGCTCAATACTCCATTTAAAACCCCTCTCAGACAGCCTATCACTAGGGGATGATTACATATCATCAGGAAGCCTGGGTATTATTCCCTATATTCAGATTAGGCATCCTCCAGTCTCGAGAAACTATGGTAATGTGCTCTGAATAGAGGTCTTGGAACAGCATCTATTGTGGCTGAGAAGGCCAATTCGAGAGTGACAATCCCTTCGACACTGAATACAAATACAATCTGTCAGTTGTCCAGCTCCCTGGTTTTGCTGCTTTCGGGACTACCTCTTTGCCTTGGCCTACTGGACAAGGGTCTCTTCAAATTGGGAGAGGCCATATGCACTGCCTGCCTCCAGGCTGAACGCTCAGATATCAGGGTTTCCCATCTGTTGAGGTCTATTCCTAAGGACTTCAGATCCCATTTGCAGATATCCTTGTGTTGCAGCTGGGGTCTCCCTCTGGGGCGATTTCCCTGCACTAATTCTCCATATAGGAGATCTTTTGGAATCCGACCATCAGCCATTCTCACAACATGTCCGAGCCAATGTAGACGTCGCTATTTCAGTAATGTATACATGCTAAAAAGACTGTATTCCCTATATTATTTAACATCTATACGAAGCTGGTGGAAGAGGTCATTCAGAGCTGTGAAGAGAGGGACCACCAATATGATGATGACATCCAGCTCTACTGTCCCTTGTCACACAGTACACTAGAGAAGTATTCAAGACCTGTGAATGTTGTCTGAACTTGATATTGGGCAAGATGAGGGTTAAAAGATGAAATTACCGTTTTTTAACACTTGGCAACAGAAAGGAGATGCTGTGCTTAAGTAGAAAGTAAGATTCAAGAATTGGGATTCAACCTGTTCTAGAAAGGGTTCTACTGCCCCAAGAGTTCGTAGTCTAGGAGTGCTCCTCAACTCTGCACTATTGCTTGACAGTGGTGACGAGGATTGCCTTTTCACAATTGCACCAGTGACAGACTTTTCTAAGTTGGCCTGTCTGGGGTAATGCAACAGTCGTCCATGCCTTAGTGACATCACATCTTGACTGCTGTATATGCTCTATGGAAAGCAATTCTATTCTAAAATTCCCAAATTTCTTCATCCTCAGAATAGAAAGAACTGGCACATCTTTGCTGGCAGATACATGTCTCCATGCTGAGAACAGCTGTACTTACTGAATTTGGCCAATATGGCTGAAAAACCTTATTTTTGTAGAATTTTGCAAATCACATAGATAGGACAGAGAGGACTTGAGGTTTTTAAAAAATCTGAATCTAAGAGAAAGCAAGACTAACATATTTCCCCATTCTGAGACTCAAAACCTTGTCATAGGAAACAAGTTGTCAGATCTCTCTCTCTTTCTCTTCCTTCCTTTCCTTTTCTGCATTATCTGACTATTCTTGATCTGGTGTGTTTGACTGACCTGGAAATCTGATGTCCAACTTTCCCATTCTTTTGCAGTTATAACCTCTATGTAATGTCCTGAAAGTCTGGAGTTGCTACTGTGCAGTGACTCTCAGCACTCTTAGAAGAATCCTGGAAATGGCATTGATCTCATGCTGCTTGCTGGGCTGATTGACAGAGCAGTGCAAAGGTATCAAAAGATCCCAGACCATGCAGTCAATCTTACAAATAATCTCATGGGGATTTTGGCTGGATATCCGGATAATCTACATATAGGTATTGCTTTACACTCCTTGTTATAGAAGGAATGAACCCTATTTTGGATTCACATATTGCATTTAGCCGCTTACCAACCTTTGCCATGTTCTGCTGCTAGATTTATAGGTTATTCATAGAAGTTGAACATTGGGAGGCATGCTAATGAATATTCTGTCTAAGCCTTCTGCTTAAAATGAAACTATTAAATTATTTCAAACACTCCATCATCAAGGCCAACTACTGTAGATGCACAAATCTTAAGTGTATCATATTTTAATTTAAAGTGTTTAAAAAAGAAATCATGGTATGTCTTAATTTGAATCTGTGTTGCAATTTTAATCCAATTGATGGTTACCATTGTCTTGCTAGAAGGAAATAATATATTTTCACCAATGTGTCTTCCTAAAGGCAAATAATATATTTTCACCAAGAGCTGTCTTGCTGCCAACTTAGGTTTTATCACTGCCCCTCAAAGTACTTGTCAGAAAATCCCACATCCCTGGCTAAAACAGGTCAAGCAAAGTCTTGTGGCTTCTAAAACTGGAGCTTCTAAGCAGTTTGATTACTCTTGTGACCTCTCTCTCAACTTGTCCAGTGTTGTGTGGTGAAGATCATCCTTGCCCAGAGAAATAAAACTGTATGGTTTGCTCTTCTTTACTCTTCCAAGATAACACACTACAGTATTACCTAATTTTTATGGCAGTGCATTCCCCTTATATATTTTGGATTACAGGAACATTGTTCTGCTGGTCATTTTGACACGGAGGCAGTGTGATGAAGCTACCGTGAGATGATTTATTTGGCTGCCTAGATGGTCATATGACATACATTCCACTGAGAAAGCCACTGAGAAAGCTAGTAAGTAGGAAAACAGATTCTGACACCTCAGGTGTAAGGGCCAGTACCAAGCCTTTGTGTCCTGAAGCATGACTACAGCCATACACTGGCCAGTCCAACTTGGGAGGTCCTCTGAAGCACAAGTCCTTCCCAAACCACAGGACTATAGGTTGGTCAACTCAAGACTCATGCCTCCCTGGTCACCTCCCGACCCGAGGAGCCCTCCCATTTTGGAGGATGCCCAGCAGAGTTCAACACCACTACCCTGAATTCTTTGCACCATCAGACTTTGGCTCTGATGACCTGCTTAAAAGAGCTCCACCTCATGGGTAGTCATGGTAGAATAGGCAAAAAAATTCTGACTGCCTTTTATTCAATATATCAATCAAGTGACCAAGACCAAATATTCTTATCTGGTCTCTAGCTAACCATTTAGACTTACATTGGCCCAGGGGGTAGTCATAAGAGAGTGTTGGTGGGGCAGGGAGGGTTTATAAATGTCAGCATACACTGTGATACATGTCAATGGCCCCACTCCTCTATTGGTATCATCATCCCTATGGTCCTCAGAGGTACATACAGTACATAGATATATATTTGTTGTGTGATGTTGTGCTCCACATATGCTAAAACTTGCATTTTCTCATGTACTGAATATGTATCCAGAGCTACCATCAGTCACTTCTATATCATAGTGGCCACATAAGTTAAATGGCAACATTCAGTTCTCTCAAGATTCTGTAAAAACAATTCAAAACATAATTAGAATGATAATAAGATGATTAATCTGTCTTTGGGTTTAGGATTAATTTTTCAAATATTTTTTCTAAGCACATCACAGTGTTATTAAACCAATTTACTGTCCATCCTCCATCCTTAAATGGAATGGTGATATTAAAGAGCAGCCAATGTTCAGGAGGTCATTCAGCAATGACAACACCAGCAATAGAACTCAAAGAGGCCCATGTGCCATGCTCTAGCTTTCTTGAATAGTCCAGATTCTCTCCTTTAAGACTGTTGTGAAATTATTTATAGGGCATTTACACACATAGTCTGAAGGACATCAAATATTTCTAATTATATCCAGACATGTCAAATGACAATTATGTCTTTAGTCAACTTTGCCAAACAATGCTTTACAGGGAAAGGTTAGCCAAAAATGCCTTGAGGGAAGAATGGCTTGGGGTGGAGGGAGGACAGAGGCTGGTACTTCTCACTCAGGAGTATAAAAGACGGTCTAGGGCCAATCTGCCTTGTCCTTCTTAAGATAGTTAGTAGGTAAGTGGTGGGGGATTATGGGGGGCTGGATGGGAGCAATGCCCCTGAATTCCTCGCATGCCCGTTCATTTGGAGTACCTTTGCCATTAATGCAAGGGGATTGACTTTGTCAGTGTAGATTTCAAACATGCCAGTTTGATTCCAGCCAGTAATTCATCACTAGAAGGCATTTTGAAAAGCATTAGCAACAAGAGATTCATCCTTTTTATTTTGCAGTACTGCCCAGCGTTGTGCCTGTACACTACCCATTTCAATTATCAAGAGGTAAGATTGATTTTGCCCAATTCTTGGAGATGGGGTAATTTTTAAAAAAGCCTTCTGTCAGATTTGATCTGTGGGGGCAGTTGTTGTATCCTATGTGTTTTTTGTGCTGCATGACATATTTAGCATTTATTGAATTCAGATTCTCTGTTGCATGGTGTCCACAGTGACTGATCTTGATGTCCTGTTGTGTCAAGCTCTCTAAGCATGTCCTCCTCCTATCTAAGCATCTGACAGGCATTCTAATTTTTAATTGCTGCCTGTGCAATTATTTGTACTCCAAAATACATACTGCAAAAATTCTCTATACTCACAATGGAAAAAGGTGGAACTGAGGATCTTGATAATTCTTTCATGAGTATTTCTGATGGAATCTCTTTAGAAATACATTTTGGACCAGTAATCATATGATTTAAAAAATATATATATAGTCAAAATAGTGATGACTAAAATCTAACTTGCTTCTCATTTCATTTCCATTATTATTTAATGTTGTGGTAAGTAATTTAAACGAGGGCTGAAATCTTACCCGTTTTTTCCCCCAATTATTATATAATGTTAGCACCAACAGACCATAACAAATTGGACTAAAGTTTTTAAGCCAAGTCTGTGTGATGTTTTAGAGAGCTGTTTTATTCTCCCTGCATTCAGTTTCTGTAGGGCTCAATGCCATGGAAAGGGCTGAAGATGGCCTTGCCTGGAATCCTTTTTGTCAAACGAAAGGGTTAGGATTTCTGATGTAGCAGTAGACAGCTTCCTCTGATGAGTAAGGGGTAAGCAGAAAGGGACAGGGAGAAAGCTGGAAGCGTAGGAAACAAACAAAAATATAGGAAGAAAGAGGAGACTAATCTCGATTCTTTGTAAAACTAGTTCATACAATTTATGTCAACGTATGAACTCATTTTCTAAACATCTGAAAATTGAGGCAGAATCTTTGTTTTCAAAAAAGTTGGATTCACTCACATTTTCCTTTTGGTAGAGTAATGTAAAATACTAGTGGAAGAAGTCACCACTCATCTTGAAGACGATAACGATTGTCTTTGACACTTATTTATCATGAGCTTGGATGATCCTCATTGATTCCTTTTTAATCCACAAGAGTTTTGCACAGTGCAACTGAAATGCTTTTTAACTGGTGCTTGGCAGTGAGACATAACTACTTATCCAATAGAAGGGAAGGCAAAGACATTTACTAAGTAGAAAACAACTCATAGCTTATTAGTATCTTTTGGAAAAAGGGGAAGTTTCCAAATGTTGACTTATCATACAGTGGGCAAAAGAGAGAGGCTGGGTCTGTAAGAATGCTCATTAAACAACATTGAAGAAGGACTCAAGACTACTAACATAATTGGGATTTACTTCTGATGTATTATCTCTCTATTTATATATCAAATAGCAGTGGCAAATCGTCATTAATTAATCAGTTCTGGTTAAGTTTCTGGGAGATGTTTGAACACAACCAACACAATGAACACTTTGTTAATTAGTAGCAATTTGCTGCCATGTCTTAAGGCATTTCATTTAGGGAAGCATAAATTACTACTTGGATACTGATTAGCTATTTAAATAAGTAAATATCCTTAGGATCACACTTCAAGTAGATGCATATCAACAGGGCATGAAGAAGCTAATGAAAAAAATTACTAAGGAAGTCTGCTTCTGATTTAAGATGGATTTGAATTAAGTTAAACACTCTTGCCAGCTGGTGTCACAACAAATGTTGTGTTATATCCTCTCACCCGGCAACTGCTCTTGTATAGGATTCTAGCCAGCTGTGTCCTCTTCCAGGATACTAAAATCTATGAGTCAAGCCTGGGGCATGTTCAGGGATCTTTTTTGATACTTCCTCTTCACTCTTATTGGTCTTATTTGGTTCCAATTCTGTTGGCACTTAACAAACTGTAAGAGGTGGAAAGCAGGACCCACAACATGTCTCAGTACATTCTCATTCCTGTTGTTGTTGTTTAGTCGTTTAGTCGTGTCCAACTCTTCATGACCCCATGGACCAGAGCACGCCAGGTCCTCCTGCCTTCCACTGCCTCCCGGAGTTGGGTCAAATTCATGTTGGTAGCTTCGGTGACACTGTCCATCCATTTCGTCCTCTGTTGTTCCCTTATCCTCTTTCCTTCACACTTTCCTAAAATCAGGGTCTTTTCCAGGGAGTCTTCTCTTCTCATGAGATGGCCAAAGTATTGGAGCCTCAGCTTCAGGATCTGTCCTTCCCGAGAGCACTCAGGTTGATTTCCTTCAGAATGGATAGGTTTGTTCTCCTTGCAGTCCATGGGACTCTCAAGTGTCTCCTCCAGCACCACAATTCAAAAGCATCAATTCTTCGGTGGTCAGCCTTTTTTATGGTTCAGCTCTCACATCCATACATTGCTACTGGAAAAACCATAGCTTTGACGATGCATACTTTTGTTGGCAAGATGATGTCTCTGCTTTTTAAAATGCTGTCGAGGTGTCTCATCGCTTTCCTCCCAAGAAGCAGGCATCTTTTAATTTTGTGGCTGTTGTCCCAATCTTTAGTGATCATGGCATCCAAGAAAGTAAAATCTGTCACTGCCTCCATTTCTTCCCCTTCTGTTTGCCAGGAGGTGATGGGACCAGTGGTCAGGATCTTAGTTTTTTTGATGTTGAGCTTCAGACCATTTTTTGCACTCTCCTCTTTCACCTTCATTACAAGGTTCTTTAATTCCTCCTCACTTTCTACCATCAGAGTGGTATCATCTGCATATTGGTTGTTGTTGATATGTCTTCCCGGAATCTTAATTCTGGATTGGGATTCATCCAGTCCGGCCTTTCGCATGATGTATTCTGCATATAAGTTAAATATGCCAGGGGACAATATACAGCCTTGTCACACTCCTTTCCTAATTTTGAACCCATCCGTTGTTCCATATCCAGTTCTAACTGTTGCTTCCTGTCCCATGTATAGGTTTCTCAGGAGATAGATAAGGTGGTCAGGCACTCCCATTTCTTTAAGGACTTGCCATAGTTTGCTGTGGTCCACACAGTCAAAGGCTCTTGCGTAGTCAATGAAGCAGAAGTAGATGTTTTTCTGGAACTCTCTGGCTTTCTCCATAATCCAGCGCATGTAAGCAATTTGGTCTCTAGTTCCTTTGCCCCTTTGAAATCCAACTTGTACTTCTGGGAGTTCTCAGTACATATACTGCTGAGAGCTACCTTGGAGGATTTTGAGCATAACCTTGCTAGCATGTGAAATGAGTGCAATTGTACGGTAGTTGGAGCATCCTTTAGCACTGCCCTTCTTTGGGATTGGGATGTAGACTGATCGTTTCCAGTCCTCTGGCCACTGTTGAGTTTTCTAAACTTGCTGGCATATTGAATGTAGCACCTTAACTGTGTCATCTTTTAAGATTTTAAATAGTTCAATTGGAATGCCATCACCTCCACTGGCCTTGTTGTTAGCCATGCTTTCAAAGGCCCACTTGAATTCACTCTCCAGGATGTCTGGTTCAAGGTCAGCAACCACATTTTCTGGGTTGTCCAGGATATCCAAACCTTTCTGGTATAATTCCTCTGTGTATTCTTGCCATCTCTTCTTGATGTCTTCTGCTTCTGTGAGGTTCCTACCATTTTTTTTCTTTTATCATGTCCATCTTTGCACAAAATGTTCCTTTAATATCTCCAATTTTTTTGAACAGATCTCTGGTTTTTCCCTTTCTATTCTTTTCCTCTATTTCTTTGCACTGTTCATTTAAGAAGGCCCTCTTGTCTCCCCTTGCTATTCTTTGGAAGTCTGCATTCAATTTTCTGTAACTTTCCCTATTCCCCTTGCATTTTGTTTCCCGTCTCTCCTCAGCTATTTGTAAGGCCTCGTTGGACAGCCACTTTGCTTTCTTGCATTTCCTTTTCTTTGGGATGGTTTTTGTTGCTGCCTCCTGTACAGTGTCATGAGCCTCTATCCAAAGTTCTTCAAGCACTCTGTCCACCAATCTAGTTTCTAATTCTCATTCCTAAATAATCATAGAACTGCAGAACTGGAGGGGACCTTATGAATCATTGAGTCCAGCTGTTGTCAAGGAGGCACAGTGGAGAATGAAACTCCCAATCTCTGGCTTCAGTCCGAGACCTAAACAACTGAGCTACCCAGCGTGTATGATGTACTCTGTTCTCAGTAGGGCATTCCATGCTTTCACCACCTCAGTAGTGTCTTCTTCTTCTTTATTTCTAATGGATACACAATATTCTATAGCTATTGAATACAAACATTCCTTATTGGGAATCCCAAATACAAATTTCTGTATTTTGGTTAACCACAAGATTTCAACAAGAATGGCAATACTCATTGTTTCTCAGTAGTCCTGTTTTGCTTCCAGTTTTGTTGGCATAGAACACTGACATCTGCCATTAGAAGAGGTGATTTTATTCTACCATACTGAATTATATGTAACATTTTCAAAATTATGCCCTGATCAGTTAGAGACAGGTTCCTTGTAAATGTTGGCTGCCCCATTCATTTTACTTGAGGGACCACTCTTGAATTTATTTACTTGTGTAACAAGGTTTAACGTGTGCTCTGATTTTACTGACATACATATATATACTGTGGGGTGATTGAAATAACTTGCCAATAATATGCCAATAGAAGATTTAGGGTTACCAAAGAAAAGAATAATTTCAAACAAAGAAATGCTTAGAATACAATTTGAGATATTATGCATGGTGTCAGTATAAAGTTATGATCCTTGTGTGAATTCTTCTTCTTCTTCCTCCTACACCAGTGTTATCAGATAAACTGCAGCCATGTCATCAGATGCTGAGATGGCAGCCTTCGGGCCAGCTGCCCCTTATCTCCGAAAGTCAGAAAAGGAGAGGATTGAGGCTCAGAATAAGCCATTCGATGCCAAAAACTCAGTCTTTGTAGTGGATCCTAAGCAGTCCTTTGTGAAAGGCACTGTTCAAAGCAGGGAAACGGGGAAGGTCACAGTCAAAAAGGAAGGTGGAGATGTGAGTAGCTTACAAAGAAAAGTTAATACGTTTGATTCTCTTCTTTCTGCTGTTGGCTGAATGGTGTCTTGTTTTCTTACAGACTGTGACAGTTAAGGATGACCAAGTCTTTCCTATGAACCCTCCCAAATTTGATAAGATTGAAGACATGGCCATGATGACCCATCTCCATGAACCTGCTGTCCTGTATAACCTCAAAGAGCGTTATGCAGCCTGGATGATCTATGTGAGAAGAGTTTGAGATTTACCATTGACTATCATAATGCAGAATAATTCTTTCACAAGGAAGCCAATATAGAATTAATCCTTTCTTTACAGACCTATTCAGGACTCTTCTGTGTCACCGTCAACCCCTACAAGTGGTTGCCAGTGTACAACCCAGAAGTTGTTAATGCCTACAGGGGCAAAAAGCGTCAAGAGGCCCCTCCCCACATCTTCTCCATCTCTGACAACGCGTATCAGTTCATGCTAACTGGTGAGCAGCACAACCCATATCAAAGCCATTATACAGTGGCAGGTTCAATATCCTTTCCAAAAAGTTTCATGCATAACCAGTTGCCTTAGAGGACACTGAGAGCTCAAAGAAAAGGAAAATCAATTCAGTTGTCCCATAAAACATACTAACTCCTAATTGCACTTGACCATATTTACGAATGCTCTTTATTGCTTAATTGACCCTTTTAGCCTATTTGCATTCAGATCAGTTTATAGTTTGGTACAGCATACAGTGGCGTCTTGCAGGGAAGGAAGAGGTTTAAAATCCAAAAGAATTGTGGAGAGGAGAAGTGAGAATCAGATTTCTGATATGTGAACTAGATGTGTGCTGGAACACATGACTTGTAATAAACCGGTGAGTGTGGAGTTTTCATAGATGTAGAATAATCTGAGCAAGTGTTCAACCAGTGGCCCACATCCTCACTGGCAAATTAAGAAAGTGTCCTAGGCACCTGATGTGGCTTGCTGAGTCTTATGATCCAGTGTGCAACAGGATATGACGATGCTAATGCCTTAACTTTCAGCAATTCACCAAGGAGATTGATGCCAATTCCATCACTCTAGTATAAAATCTCAAAAGGATTTTGGCCAGTATTTCCTAATGGAAGGAGAAATAGAAATGGGCCATCCAGATGATAAATAACTACCTTTTAAGATTTTCAGGCTTTCCCAGGTGCCTTTTAAATGGAATATGCTTCATTTCAATATCAGTTACATTCTTGTTTCTTTGCTTTCCTAGATCGTGAGAATCAGTCCATCCTGATCACGTAAGTATGTTTTGGTCAATTTCCAGTCAGAGCAACTTTTGCTGTGAAGTGCAATGGATGACTGACGAATTTTTCTCATCTGTTTCTGCTGAAAGTGGAGAATCTGGTGCTGGAAAGACTGTGAACACGAAACGTGTCATTCAGTATTTTGCAACAATTGCTGCAGCTTCCGATAAGAAGAAAGAAGAACCACAGCAAACTGGCAAACTAAAGGTGAGTTGTTTGTTTGGAGGAAGACCACACTTTCCTTTTGGCTAATTACTGTTGGTTTAAAATTGGTAACTCTTTGATACACTATATAACACTTCTGCAGGGCACCCTTGAGGATCAAATCATCAGTGCCAACCCCTTGCTGGAGGCCTTTGGGAATGCCAAGACTGTGAGGAATGACAACTCTTCACGTTTTGTGAGTTTCATGTGTTTGAGAGAGCATCCGTTCGTGAATGCCTTTGTACTCTGTGGCACCTTTCCTGGTACTCTAACAATGACGAAAAGCAACTGTGTCCAGTTAGGCCGGCTAACCTCTGCCCCTTTCTTTATTCACTGACTTCATAAAGGCAATTCTCCTTAACCAGGGGGACAGGTCCTGTCCCTTGGCTACCATTGCAAGAGCATAGATCAAGTTCACAGGACTTCTCACCTCTGCTTGCTGTGCCATCTGCCGTAAGAAAACCTGAGATTTGCTTGGATCCCTTCATGCCTCCACTGTCCTTTGTCATGGAAGCGACAATGTCCTCAGCCCAGCTCCTCACATAAAGTTCACATCCCATGAAAATCTAGAAGGAGATCCCATCTCCCACAGCTGCCAATGATCTGTTACCCTTGGGATCATCTGTACACACAAAAATCTATATATCCGGAACAATATTTATTTTAGAAATATATTGTATGCTGAAGAGCAACTTCAGTAATCATCTCCATCAGCTGCCAAGATTTATTCCTCTTAAGATCATCACCCTCTCCCCCCGTATAATCTTCTAACTACATGAAGATCACATTTCACTCTCACACGCGGATATTTTGTTTGTCATTCTTCACAAAATGAATGAATGCCATCTGTGGAGGGGCCTCTTTTGGAAGCAGCTCAGTAAAGTATATTATCACATGAAAATCACATATCATGCTGAAGGCCAACTCTTACAAAAATATTATGGCGAAGCAAAGCAAAAGCAAAGTGTACTGCTTATATACCACCCCATAGTGCTTAAAGCACTCTTTGGGTAGTTTACAAGTTAATTATGCAGGCTATATTCCCCCCCCCCCCCGCGCGCCATCTGGGTACTCATTTTATCAACCTTGGAAGGATAGAAGGCTGAGTCAACCTTAAGCTGGCTACCTGGGATTGAACCCCAGGTCCTGACCACAGTTTTGGCTGCTGTACAGCAGTTTAACCACTGTGCTACTGGTAAGATTTTTCTCCCAGAGCCAAAGTTTTCATTGCAGCTAACTCACTATCAAAGTCCTACTGACAGTTCCAACCAGAGTAGACTGACCCATGGGATCTGTGGGATTTACTTAACAGTTGAATCACCATCCAACAATTGATTCAGTGTGTGTGCTATTTGGGAGTACCATTATGATTTAGCCAATAAGGCAGAATATCAAAGCATTCTATGGCATAACCTTAAAGCAAATCATATCATGACAGTTATAGAGCTGATATCAGCAAAGACAGACAGCTGATAAACACAATCACTCTACTGTTGAAAAGCCCCCAGTGCTCAATAGGGGAGAGTTTGAAGCAGAGTGACTAGTCAGCAGAAGCCACAGAGATGTCACATGCTACCTATGCAGCCCTATCTCTTTGACATACTTTCCTGCCATTCCCAGTTGGTTCCTGACTGGGAACGGCTGTTTATTGGTTTGCTATTTTTCTATCTTTTTTTTCTCATCTTCTCTCATTCCCAGTAGACAGCTGTAATTGCTGTCCCAGTCCAGAAAAAGTGGGATACAAACCTCAATACTGTGCATATAGATCTCCTAAAAATCAGTTGACAGAAACTAGGTTATTAGGCAAGATTTGTAAGGCTAGGCTGAGGATTATTTAGTTCTCATTATGTTGGTGAAATCTGCTTCATGTTAATCTCAGCCAACCTGACCAATGGCAAAGGTTTCTGGGAACACAGTGTTTGGAAGACAACAGGTTCCCCACCTCTGCCATAAAGGAGAAAGGCCTGTTTAATTTTAGCCAGATGATTATTCCCAAAGGATTTTCAGTGAGCACATCTGCTTCACTCTGACTAGGAACCATAAATGAAAAGACATGTACCAGAAATGTTAGAAGATATATGTAGAAAGAGGGGCATGTTTCATATGCGTGAATATTTACATTCTTTGAATCAAGATAGGAAAGCTAGAGAATCTCTCTGTCTCTCTCTTTACCAGTCCTAGTTTACAAGGGAGATAGGAAATGTCCTTAAGAAGAGGGATTGGCTAGTGAATTGTAGTTGGCTGGTATGGAAGAGCAGGGGAAGGACCAGCTTGCTGATCTTAGCAGTTCGAGAGGGTTCCTATACATCTACAGGCTGGCACACAGTATCTGAGCATTTGCTAAAGCAGTGGGAATTTTCCTTCCCAAGGGACACATTCCTTTACAGGGATCCTCCTATGAGCTGTATGTTAGAGATGGGTGTCCTCACAGTTCTCTCCACTTGCTAATATGTGTCCCTTCTTCCTCACACCAAGTTCTCTAAATAATTCTCTTATGGCTGCTATTATTGTGGGACGGTGCAGCAGATTTACAGTAAAAATCCATTTTGTAGTAATTATGCATCCTTTCTCCCTACAGGGTAAATTCATCAGAATCCATTTTGGTGCTACTGGCAAACTTGCTTCTGCTGACATTGAGACATGTAAGAGATTTTACTCGTCCATCCAATTGTCTTCCCTCCCTCCCTTCCATCCATCCTTCCTTCCTTTCTTCCTAGGCTGATTACATTGCACTTCTTTCCTAGATCTGCTAGAAAAGTCCAGAGTCACTTTCCAGCTAAAAGCTGAAAGAAGCTACCACATCTTTTATCAGATCATGTCTAACAAGAAGCCAGAACTGATTGGTAAGAAGCATCTCTTTCGGAGGGGGCAGTAGGTGCTAAGATTCTAATGGCAAAGGATGAGACTGAAACCATGGTTCTGCTTCCTATTCAGAGATGCTCCTGATCACCACCAACCCCTACGACTATCACTTTGTGAGTCAGGGTGAGATCAGTGTTGCCAGCATTAATGATCAGGAAGAGCTGATGGCAACTGATGTAAGTAAACTGTAGAACTGACCACAAAGAACATTAATTTGACAAAAGCATCTTGTGGAAGTGGTTCACTTCTGCATACAGTATATAGTAGTTATTTTACAGATCAAATTTTGGATAAAACATTCAGAAAAATTGACTATTGATTCAATTGACAGGAAGCCATTGAAATCCTGGGCTTTACTCCTGAAGAAAGAACAGCCATTTACAAGCTGACAGGGGCTGTCATGCATTATGGGAACATGAAGTTCAAGCAGAAACAGCGTGAGGAGCAGGCTGAGCCAGACGGCACAGAAGGTATTCAGAAGATTTGCTGTAGAATTCTTACACATCAGAAATGTTTCATCTCACAGAAGAGTGTGTTTAAACTCCAAAACAAATAGGACACTAAGTTGAAAGGTGGCTTTCATACTGTTTTGTGAGATGTAAAGTCCTACCTCTTAGAAACAACCCAGTCAGGTGGACAACTCTTGACAGATCTAGGAGCCAAATTTTATCCCAGTATCCACCATTAAAATGAGTTTTAAAACAATTTAAATGGGTGGGGCAGGGCTTGAAACTGGAAATGCCTGGCTGGCTACTTTCATTTACATCATTTTCGGAGAGGTTGGCTTGGGGACCCATGGGATACTCCTGATTTTCCCAGAAGGGAAAGGGAAAGGGAAGGGAAGTCTGTAGGAGTAGACAAACAATTTTTTCTTTTCCCTCATCTTTTGAATGAAACATGGGTGTGGGAAAAGCAATTGTAGCACCATCTGGGGACCCCTCAAAAGGCCTTAGAGCCTACACATGGCTTGAAGGCTGTACTTTGCCTATCTCTGGATTATAGCCTGCCATAGTCACTTCTCTACATGCAAAAGAACCACCAAGAGCTTTCGACAGAAGAAATCTATTGCTCAAGAGAAGGTATTCTTCTTGTGCTGGGTCAAAGACTCTCCATATGGAACTTACATTCTCTTCCATTCACAGAATGGCTGCTTATATTTTTTGTGTGCAAAGTGGTATTATATCCAAAATTGTTCTTTCACTATCACAAAGGCTTTTACTCCCTTTTGCATAAACAGAAGCACAAGAACAGTTACAGGATCTATTAACACTGGGAACTTCTTAGATACAGAATTTTTAATATGTTAGTGGAAATCCATTGTTGGATAGGCTTATGAATTGGCATCAGGCACATTATCCTGTTTCTTGGATGTTGTCTCATCCACATTTGGGTAAGCTCTGTTATATGTTTTAGACAAATCCTAGGTATGAGGCTCATTTTCCCCCTGATTCAACATCCAACCTGACATTGATCTTAATCAGTATATCACAAGAGTCATTTTTTCCCTCCTACATCTGTGCTCAGTTGCTGACAAGGCTGCCTACCTCATGAACCTCAATTCAGCAGATCTCCTGAAAGCTCTGTGCTTTCCTCGTGTCAAAGTCGGCAATGAGTATGTCACCAAAGGTCAAACTGTCCAACAGGTAATGTTATATTAGCACATGGTTTGATTTAACCATTTGTGACTCACTACCCTGAGGAGTGAAAAGTCACTGATTATTTAATGAGTCAATGACTGCAGTAACAATTTTCTGAAACTTTTTCATCTCCTGGGTATGGTAAATACTGCCATTATCTTGTCTCTCTAGGTGTACAATAATGTGGGTGCTCTTGCAAAAGCGGTTTATGAAAAGATGTTCTTGTGGATGGTGGTTCGTATTAACCAGCAGCTGGATACTAAGCAGTCCAGACAATATTTCATTGGTGTCCTGGACATCGCTGGCTTTGAAATTTTCGATGTAAGGATGCATGCAGGACAACAGACATTTTACTATATTAAAACTGTATCATTTCTGAAGCTCCACAGTGTGGGAAAATCCTGCCCAAGGCTGTTAGTTGTTAGCTGCATTCCTGTAACAGTGAGGTGCAAGCACTCCTGGCAGAGAAGCGGCAGCTGCCAGCGGGCAGGGTGACTCCCTCATTCTGCCTTTTCCCTTAGAGTTAATCATAAGTTCAAAGCCTTTCTCTGGCCAACCCTAAGTGATGATTAGGTAACTAGTATCTTATCTAAATTCTTTCAACATTCTGTGTAAGCTTGCTAGTTAATAAAAAGAGTTCTCAGGGCATTGCCTTGAGGCTCCACTGGTGGACATCTGCATGTTGACTTCTTTGCAACTTCTCTCTAAAGCTAATTGCCTTCTTATTGCCCGTGATCCCCTACACCACAGGGTTGCTTAATTTTCATTTAAAAGCTAAAAACTATGCTAGGTTTCATTTTCTGAAAACACAGAACATTTGAACATGGCTTAACATGTGCAATAGTTTGGAATCATACTTAAAGGAAAGGATCCTCTATATTGGTGTCTTAAAAGCATGGTAGCATAGGTTCCAATGTGTGACGAGAGAAAACACACAAGAGTTCCTCAGTATGAACAGCACCTAATTAAAAATGTGATTGAAGGCATTGTGGAGCTTTTCATTTTCCTCTGATTAATAATTTTTCTATTACTGTAATCAGTTTTTCTTTTCTAAGAAAAGAACAAGGAAGAAGCAGTAGGAAATGCAAATAAAAGTCAACACTATCTGGACCACTGAAAACATTCCATGAACTAGGCAGGGTGATTGGAGAATAAAGACCTAACTCTGGAGCATCCACTCTGGAATTTAGGACAACATATGGAGGATCCTGCTGAATCATAAATGTGAAAAGACTTACAAGATTTCATTAACAGTCTAGTGATCTGCTTACAGATATACTATAAAAAGCAGAGAAGCTGCTGTTAAAGCTGTTTTCAGATGATGAGGTACTAAAACATTCTTGGGTGTATAAGTGTGAGCATTAATAAAAAATCTGTCTCTTCTTTCTGTAGTACAACAGCTTAGAGCAGCTCTGTATCAACTTCACCAACGAAAAACTGCAACAGTTTTTCAACCACCACATGTTTGTGCTGGAACAAGAGGAGTACAAGAAAGAAGGAATTGAATGGGAGTTCATTGACTTTGGAATGGACTTGGCTGCCTGCATTGAACTGATTGAGAAGGTATTTTTTTGCATACATGTGCTCAGTATGCTCTGAACTTTTTTATGTTGCTGAGCTATCCATGGAAAAAGAGCATATTGCTGTTACATATGCATCATCACTAGTTATGCACAGTACTCCCATAAGTGCCCCACTCTGCCAACACAGAACTTGGTGACAGGAAACTCCAATGAATGCACTATTACAGAGAGCAGCATAGGGTGGATGAAGAAATTGTTTTCTAGAAGAAATGCCATGTCATTTTAATCGAAATGTACACATATCTTTTATATGACGTGAGGCACACCATACATTTTTCCATGCAGCAATTGCACAGTTGTATTTCATCTCTTGAAAGTGGAGTAATTATTTGGTCAGACCAGAGAAAGAGAGACAAAAAGAGAGAGAAAAGAGGAACAACAGACAGAAGAAAAAGGCAAAGGAGACAAAGGGAAATGGACACCATGTTACATTTTATTGTAGTTGCAGTGCCCAGAATATTGCTTGCTTAGGCAATTTTCTAAGGGTGGTGACATATTTTTACTTTTGCCTTTATTTAATGTTTAGGTCCATCATTGCTCTTGTACCTTTAGTTTTTATCTGGCTATAATGTCACACTGTTTTTATTACATTCTCTACCCAGAGTAGTATTTCAGCACTAATAGGAGTGGTATACAAAATTAATAAATAAATAAATA